TGGATGGATGGATGGATGGATGGATGGATGGATGGATGGATGGATGGATGGATGGACGGGCGGGTGGGCGGGCGGGCGGGCAGGCAGACAATTCTAAAATTTGAAACAGTGCGTTATCAAATGTAGAGAAGTGCAATTTAGATAAGTTTGTACAAAGATTCAAAATTGTTAAATTAGATGCGTGCATGAAGGTTGTCCTCACCTGTGAGATCCTTGTGCTTTGACTGATTATTTGATAATTGATAAATTGATACTTTGATTGAAATTGCCATAAGGTTTTTCCCACACCAGCAGAATTTCAATGCACCAACGTGGTCCAATTTTTACCAAGGCAACTCGTCACATTCGCTAAACCAGACCTGTGGCTTTATGAGATCTACGCTGTAGCCCAGGATCAAGGCACTGATTTGTCAGGCAGAAAAGCTTTCCCCCCAAAATTTTTGGTTTCTTTCTGGCTTCTGCCCGCAGCACAGAGGCCTTCAGCCCTGAAAGAGGGGGCAGAGAAGGGGCTACCAAGCTGATGATCGTGCTGACCGATGGGGAGTCCCACGATGGGGAGGAACTTAAAGATGCCCTGGAAGAGTGCGAGGAACGGAACGTGACACGTTATGCCATTGCGGTAAGTGTGTCAGTAGATGGAGGGATGAGCACACAGGGGGTGGGGGTGTCCCTCTGTAGGCGAGCAAAAGGAAGAGAGTTCCAATATAGTTTATAAATTAAATTCTGTTTAATTTAGCCAGCAGTTTGAGTGCAACTTTATTTTGTTAACATAACTTTGACATCAGGTATCTTGGATCTGGAAAAATGCATCATGCAGAAAGTATCTGTGTTTACTTAGCAAGAAAGAAAGGAATGAAAGAAGGAAGGAAGGAAAGAGAGAGAGAGAAAGAAAGAAAATAAATTGTCAGAAGAATAATTTGATTTGAGCTGGGGTTGCACAAGAATAAACAAAAATGAGATCCAGATATCTGTGAGCAAAGAGTAAATATTCATAAAGTTAAGTTCTACATTTAGCCAAGAAAGACGAAATGCACAGGTACAGTATAGGTGGTACCTGGCTCAATAGTAGTAACTGTGAAAGGGATCTTGGAGTCCTAGTGGACAACCATTTCAATAGGAGCC